CTGCTACAGGAGAGGACATATTTATAGAGGCTGCAGGAAAATGGCCAGCAACCAAGTAATACTGGTTCTCTTCTGTGGAGAAATCTGGAAATCCCTTTCTACAGCAATACCTCAAAACACTTCCATGAACAGAAGTGCACACACCACTATTGGGAGTCCAGGAGAAGACCAAGCTCCTGTGTATCAGCTGCAAGCAACCGGACTCCACTCACACAAATCTGGAAGAGCACTGGCTGTTATGACACCGCCTCAGTTCCCCAAAGCAGAAGCTAGCGATGACAGCTGGATAGCAGCACCCATAATTGGCACCATTTTGATCAGCATGCTAGTGGCTATTATTATCATTCTTCTGTGGAAATGTTGCAAGAGGCCAGTTCCAGCTGATTCAAATTGGGCAGGTCGCTCTCCATTTGCAGATGGAGACACACCTGACATCTTCATGGACTCTGACCAGGCCCCCAAACGTTCATCAGTTTTATTTATGTTGCCTTGGAAACTGAAACAAGACACACACTTACAGCAGGAACCTGTGGCACCAGAGAAACCATCCCACTGCACTGCCAGCAATGACAACGGCCAATTGCCTCCACCAGCAGAAGACTGCTCTGCAGCCAGGACCTCAGTTTCCAACACGGATGCATCTCCAGCTCCCACCTCAGAAGCAGCAATCCATGCACACAACTCCTGTCCTCACCCAGCGCCTTTACCCGAATCCCCAGATCTGCCTCCTCCACCCAACTGGCTCAGGGAACCAACTGAGGATGACAGTTCAGATCTGAGCAAGTACCAGGAACTGCACTCAGAAGCAGAGGAACAATTGCCCCCACCACCCGAGTTACTCATTCAAGAGACTCACGAACCACTGCCCCAGCCAGAACACCCCTGTCAGACTGCCAAAGTCGACTTCCAGCACACTTCACATTTTGATTAAATGAAGTACTGAAAAAAGGAGAAGTGGACGTGGGCAAGAAGAGCGAGAACACAGCGCGGGCACTTCCCCAGTGCTTCTTAACTTCAGCTTTCACAAAAGGGAACAACCCGCTTCTGTCTGATGCAAATTTCAAAGCACAATGGGGATTGTACCCACTGGTTATCTGATTCCAGATTCTGGAGACTACAGAAAACAGAGTATGCAATCTTTGTGTGTCAGGATATACATATATGTAACATGGACATGGGGCTTTCAGGCAACAGAACAGCTTTAGAGGCACCCTGAGCTTCTAAAAATTGTTTGTTTTACTAGGCTGTGTAAGTGAAGGCGATGAATCCAAGTTAATTTCAATAAAGCTTTCTAATTCAAAGATGTTTTGGTCACTTGAAGCACAACCGAGCATTTGCTTAGATGAAAAGCTTTGAATTAAAAACAAAACCTAAATCCCTCGACATACAAACGTATCTCCTTTCATAGAGGCCCATTTTCTGCACGTGATGGGGTAACAACTTGGTAGCAATGGGTTACAGGTCTCACACACATCCTCCTAACAGCCAAAAACGTACTCATGTAAAACCTCCAGTGACTGTGGTAAAGCAGAGAACAGTGCAAGTGAACAGTTAATACAGGGTCACTGAAAAGCTGAAACAGCTCCAAACTTCAAGAACAAGTACAAAAAGCCTTTCTTTTACCTAAATACTTCTGATTTTTATGGATAAAATAGAAACAGTTTGCAGAACACCCAGACAAATAACTAGCAGAATTAGTTGTGCACATTGACTAATCTCTTCCTCGGAAGCAGTATTTTCAGAATGCACTCACTATTATTAATATAAACTTTAAAAATTAATTTAATGTTGCCTGGACACCAGATTCCTTTCAGCTCAAGGTGTTTACGTGTTTGACATATTCCCTTCTGAGCCTTGAGTACAAGTGAAGCTCACTATCCTAAGACCATGCATTTTCATGAGGCAACTTTTTTGGGGGAAGTAGGAGGGTGGTCTCAGAGGTAAGTTTGTTGGGGTGTTTTTGTATTTTTTTTACCGGTATTGAATGTATTAGATTTACGGATAGAAGCTACGATCTGCTGACACTCACCTTCTACAGCATCTCTGCAAAATGTCAGAGAGTTTGTAGTTCCGAGTTTGCGTAGGGAGAGAGGATGTTGCACAGAGCACATGTTTGCACATATAATAATAAACTTCAAAACCTTTAAATTACCACTAAAAATTAAAGTCACAAGCTATGCGAATACAGTTCTAGGCTGTTGTGCATAAATATGGACATAGGAAAAGACACTTACAATGTTTTCTCACCTTTACATAAGCTGTATGACTGTGTATGCCTGAAGAGCAGCATTCAAATTATGCCAACTTTTTTTTTTTTTAAGGCTTTTTTCTATTACACCACGTTAAAATTAACAGCATTATAAACTAGATGCACTCTTGTGTTGCTTGGAGAAATTCAGAGACAGATTTCCTACAGAAACCTGCCAACTGTCCAAGCTGAGCTATATGATACCTGACCATAGAGCCACAGTCTGATCTGAGCAGCAAACCGAATGTTTTAAAATGATGAAAAGATATTCTGGCAGTGTAGCTTAAGATAGGAAACCTAAATTAACAGTAACCTTTATTACAGGAGGAGAGGTTAATGGAAGGTAAAAACGAACACAACTTAACATGACTTTTTAAACAGCAACATTTAAATAGTCGCAGCTTAAGCCGAAAGAGCCTACGGAAATCTCAGGCGGCACGGCTCCTGCGGGCAGCCCTGCACGCTCTGTCCTGATGCACTAACAGCATCAAATACAGGCACGGAGAAGTTAACTGATCCAAATTATAAAACCCAACTATTTCACTGAATATGCTCACTTGGCAATAAATTTGAGTCAGCACCAGCGACAGCTCTGCAGTCCTCCAGTGTAGTGCAGATCAGGTGGTTGCAGAGCCCCAGCAATACGATGCAGCTGAAGAAGCAAGCACAACCCACAGACAGCAACTGTAGCTACTCTCTAGAACAAGACGACCTCTAAGCTTCAATCTGTCACAGGAATGATGTGCTGATACTGCAGCAGAGATGACGGTAAGTTTGTGTTTTTGTTTTTAATCACAAAAACCTACTACAAAATTAGAGACAGAAAGAAGAATGAAATTACTAGTTGATGACAGATGCTTGCACCAGAAATTTGCTGCAGTGTCAGAGATTTCTTACTAACATTAATTCAGCTTTGAAACATGTGTTACCAGCTTTGAGAATGTAATTAACACTATAATAAGGAAAAATAATAATGTGCATGTTAGCATGAACATGGAATTTCAGTTTCAGCCTAAATTCCTAACAGTTTAAGATGTATTTTAACCGATTCTACTTAAGCAAACAGCGTGCTTGTATGGGGGGGGACTGCTACACTGCTGCAGAGATTTGTAAAGCAGATCCAGTTGACAGCCATTTTTTCATCCTGTATAAAAGAACACATTATTCCAAACATAATATAGGCTTGAAATCACTAAAAACAAGAAGCAGACATTGTATAACATTTGGAAGAGACTTGCATTTTCGGAAGAAAGCCCTCATTTGAGCTTGAGGGGGAAAGGGAGATGAAAAAACAAGTCTCATTCTGCCAGACAACATGACAGTCTATGAAGGGATGCTTTGTAAAGTCTCTCTTGAACAATTCTAAAAAGGACCAAGCCACAAAGGGGTTTATTGATTTTTATTTTTTTTTTAACTTAATTTCTCCTGCAAGTGATCATTGCAAAGACAACCCTTATAAAGAAATAAAATATATTACATGGATTTAAAGGGTGTGATTTTGGTGTATTTATTTCCAGGCAACAATGGAATACCAGATATTGAAAAGATCTACCTGTCTACTGGTCCTTCTGGTTTTCATACCCACTGTTTGGGGTATCTGTCCTTCTAACTGTACATGCTCAGGAAACGACAGGAATGTGGACTGTTCGGGCAGGAACTTCACTGTACTGCCACAGGGACTTCAAGACAACATTACGTATTTAAATCTGTCCTTTAACCAGTTTGTAGATCTCGATCATCAGCTAACGAGATTCACCAATTTGAGGACCCTTGATATTTCAAATAATTGGCTCAAGAACGTTCCTGCCCATCTGCCCAAATCCTTATGGGAATTATATGCCATAAACAACAACATTAAAGTTCTTCAGAAACTCGACACAGCCTACCAGTGGAATCTCAAAGTGCTCGATGTTTCCAGGAATATGGTGGAAAGAGCTGTTCTGATCAACAACACACTGAGCAGCCTCAAGTTCCTCAATCTCAGTAGCAACAAACTTTGGACAGTTCCCACCAACATGCCCTACAACATAGAGACAGTGGATCTATCCAATAACTTCTTGTCCCAGATACTCCCAGGAACACTGGTGAGACTACAACACCTCACAAGCCTCTACCTGCACAACAACAAGTTCACACACATTCCTGACAAAGCTTTTGACCAGCTCTTTCAGCTGCAGGTAGTAACACTGTACAACAACCCATGGTCCTGCAGCGACAAACAAAACATCCCCTATTTGCTTAGATGGGTGCAGGGAACGGCCGCCAACGTTCTGGGGGCTCCCTGTGCTAATCAATCCGTGCTTTGGATGAGCACCACACCAACTTCAGCGCCTGCCCCAGCCACAGACTCCAGCCTCATGATTAAAGGAATGAAGGCAGCAGACAGAGCTACTTCTCCAGGGGCCACTGAACCAACCAAAATGGTAAAAATGCAGAAACAATTTAAAGCTAAGGACGTCCCGAGCTTGGCGACCGCGAGCCAAAGCGTATTGTTCACGAGCACGGACCGGCCCCTGCTCCTCTATCCAGCAGATCTGACGACCAGGAAGGTTAGCTCTCAAGAAGCAGCAGCCACACACACAATCTACATCAAAGATTCAGCCGAGGTGAACTCAAGCCTGACTCGTTCAACAGGACCATCCACTACTCCTATGACTTTAAGTATCACCAGTGGAATCCCAACAAACTACTCCAAAATGCCTCAAAGCACAACTGCTACCTTAAGGAAAGAGGAATCCACTACAAATATTCTGAATACTCGTGTGCCCTCCAGAGCAAGTACCTGTGAGATGTATTTGTTGTCTGTTCTCATGTTTCATGCAGTGCCAATGCTTATTGGGTAAGGGCTTTGTGTCTCGTGAAAATTACTGAGTCTATTCCTGTGATACATAGCTGGAGTTAAGGCATCCAGGTCAAATAATGAATCAAAATACAAGAAATTCAAAGTTCTGACTCTGGTCTAAAGAAAATAACAGTTCTTAATTAAAGAAGTGCACACTAATGTCTTGATACTAAGCTGCTACTTATTTTAATATGTCATAATTGAGTAAAACTAACCTATGATTTTGTTTTTTAAAATGTGCTTATTTTGTATTTAAATTTTTAATTTTACTTGCACAGAATAAAACATCAGAATTTTAAGTACTGATTTAAGGTATGATTTTGTCATTAAACAACTGGAAAAAAATAGAAGGCCTGTATCATATCTGCATTGTCTTGCTTGACTTGCCAGTGAGCAATTCTTGTAATATAGCAGCACAGATTCTTTGTAAGTTACGACGACATGCAAAAGGAAGGGAAGAAATTAAGGAACTAAACCTAGCTGTTCCACTAATCAGAAGTTATTCCTGAGAAAAACCGCTAGCATGTGTATCTATGTTTGCTTCATATGTATTAGGATATTTTAAATATGAAGAACAACTGTTTTGAATTTAGGAATTAAATATGACAATGCCATGATGTCTGCTAAGGGGGTGGAAGCTGAGGAGGCAACGTGGTCCAACTTCAGCATGGGACAAGTGGCAGGGGCTGACACCTCTTTTTGCTATGTCTTGACTTAGAGACTGCAGGCAAGTTATTTCTCACTCTCCATATTAAAAAAAAAAAGTAGAGGAAAACACAAGATGTTCAATGCCATGACACCTCCAACCGAAAGGAGTTATCTACACAAATTACTGAAATGGAACTTCTATTTCAAGTGACACCCAAAAATCTGAAATGTTAATATATTAAGATTAAAAGATTGCAAATCAGCCAGAATGTATCAAACTACTACTTTTTTATCACTAAAATGAAGTATCAGCCAATTTCTAATGCAAGTTATGTAACAAATCAATTAAGCAACTAGTTGTCAAGCTGTCATTGAAACAATTCTTGAATCTTGTGACTTAAAAAAAATTAATTAATTCAACCCATGGCATTGAACATGCCCAAATCCTTGCTTTATAAGGATAAGCATGAATGCTATTCTCCTTGACATCTGCACCATCAGTGAGTAGAAATAGTTGCACGCATGGTTCTGTCCACTCTAGGAAATTAATCTAAATTATGTGGCAAAGGTACTTGATATACTACAGATGAAGTTTTGCAAACAGCATGAAATGAAAACTGAAGAACAAGTTCACTGAAAAAGTATTAGTCACCTAATATTACAAATCTTTATACAATGTTTTCCATTCATTTCAGGCCATTTAATTTCCAGTTATTGTAGCATGAAGGTGCTACAAAACCCAGAAAACCTCACTACAGAGACTGGAGTCCTCTGCCTATGTCTCCTAGGTGTTGACGAGGGCTGTAGACCATCTACAACCACTGGTATCAGAGAAATCACAACTTTCCAATTGCAAACAGTATTTCTATAACCAGAAATGTGTTTTAATTTCTAACAGTAAATGTTACACAATGAATTTGTACAGTTATTTCATTGGCATTTAAGTAAAAATAAAGTTATGTTTGTATTGAACTGAATTAGTGACAGTGCTTCATTTCAACTAGCATAGCAATATCACGGAACCAAAAATACTATACAAACCCTTTCCAAGCAGACATTTGGCTCAATCTTCATGTCTTATGGGGTAAAACCGTGGCTAAATCAAATTCTATTATTTTCAGACTGATGTATCCTTAATACTGTTTATTAATAAGCTGATGAGATAATAGTACCATAGGGTCTACCCTTCCCACACTTCAGAACCTGCAAAAACCTAAGGCACATCTCTGTCCACTGGAAAAAGGCAGCTCTATTGTGCTCTCAAAAAACCCCTCTCCGTGTTTCAAAGGACAGAAAACTTTAAAAACCCCTCAAACCAAAGCCTGACATTTCATAAACAACTGGAAAAAACGGAAGGCCTGTACCACATCTGCATTCCCTTGCTGGATGAAACCACAACAAGGCAGATAAGAACCAGTTATCCCAGTCAAGGTTTAGACCAGCCAGACCTCCAGCACGATGAGCATGGTACCTCTGATGGCCATCAAAGTGCCTCGCCACACAGTGGCTACCAGAGCCTCAAAGAGCTGCCCACTCACACAGGTCCCAGATATTTTTCCCAGGTTAAATAATCTGACATGAACTGAGAAATTCCACTAACTAGGATCACCATTAAAAAAAGTCACTGCCTGCCACTCTCTTTGGACAGTCGGTGTGTTTGCCAAGAACTGCCTGACTCTGAAACACTGTCAACCTACTTACGACGTTCAGAACTGGGCACTTCCTAGAATTACCTCATTCATGTGGTTTCATCCCACACAGTTTAGAGCAGCTTAGCCTGCAAGGCAGGGCAGAGATCACAAACTGAGGTGCAATGACTAAACTGTCTTGAGTTGAGGAAATGACATTAAATAATTTACTATATGTGTTTTTGCTGAAGAATTCAATACAGGATGTCAAAAAACCTACATGGAATTGACTTTAAATGCTCTGAAGCTTCCACCCATAATGAGACCATTCAGTGAACAGCAACTCTCTGAAAAATACTGTTTTCCAGAAGCTGTTCGGAGCAAATTGCAAGTCCCTAAACTGAATGACTTGCTACCCAGATGTAGAACTCTTAAGCACGCTGATAAAAGCCTGGAAGTGGAAATGGGGCTGTGGAGTTCTCCAAACACACGTACAGGAGTGGGGAACCAGAAACAACAAGGGCAGCTGGGGAGGGAAGCGAGATGGGAGTGCCAGGCCCCAGGGCTGTGCTCCCTACCCAAACCTCGCCTGGGGGGGTGCAAGCAAGAGGGCTCGCCAGCTGAAATTTAGGTTTCCTTGTATTTTTCTGGAATACAAATGAGTGGATAGGAGAGCAGGGAGTGGGCAGGCAAATGTGGGAGTTGTGCACTTGTTGCTTGGCAACGGTGCAGTCAAATTGAAATAAAGCTGATGGGCAGGGATGTGAACATGACGGCATCGGGCTGCGTTGTTTTAAACATGCTGGTCCTTCAGTCCATGATAAATATAAAATAATATATTCTCAGAGAAAGTCTTTTTTACAAAATAACTATTTAGCATTTTAGGACAATATTCAAAATACCCCAAACAGTCCAGCATATCTTGTAGTAGAAATATACTTGCTTTTGAAAGGTTAAAGTTGCTGTAGGCATAGCTGCGGTCTGAAGCAATAACTCAGAGGTTCGTATTCCTATTAATTAGTTTGGGATATCAGCTTTAAAACTTAATGGCAGGACTTCAGAATCAATATTTATTGATAATTTTAGTAAGAGTATAGGGATTAAAAACGGAAAAGCAGTGGTTTTGGAAGTCCAAGTTGTTGCCCAGGAAACAAAATGTGAAGAGAAATGACAGAAGGGATTCAATTTCACAGCACAAGAAGGATCTAAACTGATCCAGATATATCAGTAAAATGACTCAACAATGCCCTAGCAACAAGATCTCAAACAAATCAGCCTGCTGGAAGCCTTCAAACATCCTGGCAGCTCCAATCTAAACACTCTTTCCACATTTCACACCCTAAAAAATGACGCCTGGCTCAGAAGCACAAGACAAACACCCCAACCCAGCACCCCTCGGCCACATCCCTGTCAGCAGAAGAGTCAGAGCATCATTCCAGCGCAAAGCCCCACCTGATAGGTCTGAAAAGGTGGCAAGAAGAACTGCAGAGCTGCAGGAGAGGAGGCACACGATAAAAAGGGAGGTAAAGGCAAGCAGCACTCCACCTAGCAGCAACTTACGTCAAAGTATAACAGTATTTTCATTAAGTAGCCTGTACCTGGACAAAATGTACAGAAATCTTCTCCCTACCACCCCCTTCAGCATCGCAGGATGGCCTGTCTGACTGGTACCATGGTTTAGCAGTGGTTTTTCATTTTCCTGTGAGGAACTGAGGTTTGTGTTCATTCAGAAATCCCTGGGATACAGTTTATAAGGTTATTTTATTGAAGACAACTTTTCAGATGGTTAAACTGCCAGGTAACTTGGTCAATGATCAAAACTTCAGAATTTCTGTAGAGTTCAGCACCACCAAACCAGGGAAGTCATCTCTATTCTCACAAGAACAGGAGATCTGCAAGAGATCAGAGACTGCTCTGGAGCTAGTTTATAGTCTCTCTTCACCCCAGAAGCACAATTCAAGAGCAGACAGTTTGCTGACTGTTGAACCCACCAGCTGAGTAGGGCACACAGATCAAAAAGCAGCATCAGAAAATCACCACGGCAAACTTTCACACACACTTGCCTCCAAACATCTTTCAGATGGCCAGTCACAAAAGAGGATTCACTTCCACTACTGTCTGATGTTCAGGTTTTATTTTTAGTTATCCACTCCATCCAAAGAGTCATGAGTGTTGAAAATGCAGAAAAGGGGTCAAGTTAAAGGCAATTTCCCAAGCAAAAGGAAGAGAAAGCTGAAGGCTGACTTAGACAAACCTTCTCTCACATGGATTCTATTTCAGAGCTACAAATCATTGGAGAAAAGTTCAGATAAATTTTGTTTTCTTACCTCCTTCATTACAGAGACTTTCTTTGTGTTATTTAGTATTGCTTTAATCAGCATGAGCCTACAGATTCATTTAAGCATAGAAGTGACAAAAAGCAGGGGCACGTTACTCTCACTGACACAAATGTGATCTCCAAAAATGGCACCAGCCATATCACGCTTCCTTTTTTCTTCCACCTTGGACTGCCTTGCACAGAGTCCTCCTAAGAGCTACCAGCAAAGCAAGTGTTTGCCACAGCACCAAATTTCTGAGACCATATGCATTTCCTCCCTGCATTACCAGTTTGAGAGCAAGTGTTTGTATTGGTTTTTTAAAGCATGGAAATCCCCTTTGTCACACCCGTACAAAATTCCAGAAGAAGGAAACAGTTTTGAAATTTATTTTACTTTCCACACTGATACTGAACAGAGTTTTGTTTGTTTGTTGCTCTGAAAATCAAAAACATAATAAAAGAAATGTGAACAGATATATTCATTTGTTGGATCTCTAACCGCATCCTGGCCAGGAAACCAGACTTCAGTAGCAGAATTCAGCTACCAGAGTAGAGGCTGTTTTTGGAAAGGTTCTTCAAAGCTCACTCATTATTTCAACCTCCAACCTGAGTTTGCAATAAGGTATGTTTATTCTCCCGAGGTAAAACAACTAAAACTTTCAATCACTAAAACTCTTCCTTATTTGAAAATTTTTTAAAGTTTGAAAATTTTTGATGGGAAATGACAAAAGTCACATGGTATAACAGAGCACAGATACTCTAGGCAAGTAAGTTTGTAACTCAGACTACAGAATAAAAAGCGCTGCTGAAAACAATGAAAAACTATGAAGACTAATAAAATTAAGGATCTAAAATTTTAATTAATTTAAAAAATCTTACATGCCTGTTGGTACGATTCTCATTAGAAATCTGTAAATCTGAAGACTTGTTTGCAAACATGTATTGACTTTTTATTTAAATCACTGAATACAAACAGAAATGGTTTCCTCTGCTTCTCTTCATGTTCTCACATGAACTCAAAGGCTCTGCAGAAGGTTCACCACTGATGACATCTCAGACCATGAAAACACTTTTTGCCAGAAGTGGCACCACCAATTAAACTGCCACCATTTGCACCAGGAGCAGGAGAGCCTCTGCCATCAAGGAACACACCATGGACAGCAACAGTGGCACCACCATCAAAAGCTCTTCCCAGCCTCACCCCAACAAGCAGCTCAAGCTCCCCAGGGACCACAACCATTCCTAACCGTGCCACAGACAAGCACATCAGCAGCAAGGGTACCACAAGCAAGGACCCCACTGGTGCAGCAGCCACCCCACTGGCTTCACAAACAAGCACCCCATCAGCAACACAAGCACCAGGAGAGCCAAAGCGACCACACGAACTCAGCACTGGTGCCACAGGCAGCTCCACCAACACGAACGCAGCTGCCACAGGCAGCACCAGCAAAAACCACACCAGCAATAGCAGAAGCCAAACCAAGAGCCCCACTGGCACAAAATGCATCAGCAATAATCTGACCATGAACACCCACACGGGACCTGCCAGCACCCCAAAGTGCCACACTGACATCAGGACTCTCGCTACGTGGTGAGAATTTGTCGGCAGCACCACCACACACCCCACCAGTGCCCAAACCAGCAGTCCCACAGCTGCCAGCCAACCCCTGACCAGTGACACCGCTACCAAAAGCAAAGGGCCCAACACCACGGCACAGAGAAAAGGTAGGACAGCTCTACTCTGACCTTTCCAGGTCTGTCCTGGACTGCACTTGCCTGTGAGAACAATGATTTTCCTTTTCTTAAAAAATGAGTGTAATCACTACGGAAACTGTTTTGAACGTGCTGTCCTCGGTGGCTTTTATAGTGAGGTCACTTAGTAACTAGATTGAAATCTCAAGTTTCAGTTATACTCTTACTCTAGTTGAAGCTTTACGACTGTAAACATTAAATAAAACTTGTCTTAAAAAACTTAAAACTTTCAAAATTTTGCCTTATTGGAAAAATACAGTTTCTTGCAAAGTTCACACATCAACATCTGCTTCTCTAATTGAGTAATATTTCCACAGATCTCGGTCATTTCCAAAATCATGGTATTATTGTCACTTAGAACATGATGGTGAAACTGAAGCAACATCATGGTCTTGACTATGTGTGAAACTTCTAAATACTCTTTAAAATGGGATAAAGGGACCATTTGAGAAATTTTATCCCATGTTTTAGCTTGTTCCTCATATTATACTTCAGAAAATGAAGATGCTAAAATCACTGATAAAGGGTTAACAGTAATGTGGAGTAGGTGGAGTTTATCTGAGACAGTGAAAAATTAATAACATGTATTTAAAACTTTAGGTATTTTTCCACAGACACTCACATACTCCTGGGTGGAAAAACTATGACAGTTCTGGTTTAGGAAATTAAAAAATACTGTAAACAAAACTTGACAAATAAGCTATTTTCAGATCCTTGTTTGCTAGAAAGTTGGTGTTTCTTTCTTATATACACTTGGTACTTTTGCTTTTACATGTTTATTTCAGACAGGGAAGGTGAAAGATTCCTTACCGCCGAGCAATGTAGTAGAAAACAGGATTGCCAGCTTTTGATGTCCCAGCTTGGTAGAAAATATTTAAAGTTTTCAGTGCCTTGAACTCCTCTTTTTCATGTACCTGATGCCTAAAAAGCAGTACAGTGACATCAACTTTTCACAACTGCCTTTCAAAACAACAACAACAAAAATGCCCAACCCTCTTCATTTGTATCTTTAAACGAAAGTATTAAGTTCACACAATCTTGAACCTTTAACTCAAACATTGCTGCCATCTCCACTTCTCAAATTAATTTTTGAAATTAAAATCTACTCAAACCTAAAAGGTATATTCACACAATCTTGAACCTTTAACTCAAACATTACTGCCATCTCCACTTCTTAAAATCTACTCAAACCTAAAAGGTATACGTAGACCCAGCTTTTTAAATTCCCTTACAAAACGAAAGCTGGTATCTTAGTAACTTCTATTGCCTTAACGTGCTAAAGTCTAGAAACCCACAATGTGTGTCCCCTCCATGATAATCTCATTACCTTGTCATAAATTCTTCAAACTTGGAACTCGTGAGATTTAAACTGGACCAATGGGTATCTGCCACGGGTTTGTGCTCAGGAGGACCCAGGTAGGCAAGAAGAGTAGCCATCTTGTCAAAAGGTCGTCTTCCAACAGCCTTGTGGTCCCTAGAAACAGCATATTACTTAAAAGAAAAGTCCTTCTTTACTCAGCAATTCCTATTTTTTCTGCTCACTGCCCTTCCTTACCTTGAACAGGTATGCAAACATGTATTGACTTTTTATTTAAATCATTGAATACAAACAGAAATTGTTTCCTCTGCTGTATTTTCTTTTTTGAAATTAAAAAGCCCCCAAACTGTTCAATGAAGATATAAGAAAAACATTTGTTACCTATAGGACACTTTTGACAAAAAAATCAGACAGCTGTACACCTGCACAAAAGGTTAGCAGTGAAGTGGGCAAGGATGTTGCACATGCTCTCAATAACGCCTCGCCAGTAAGACAAAAGTTTCCAAATATAAGATTTTTCAGCCATGATAATCTGAGTAATAATAACAAAAGCATCTGGAAGTATTTCCAAATATCCATTTCCCACCAGCAACTCCTTTCTCCATAGTATTTCTGAAGTCTTACCTGTTGCTGGAAAGGTACTGGCCAATTTTCTCCTGATTGTTCCACAGCAAGCGGTGCAAAGCGAGGACATTGCCATCACTGATGAAAGACAGGCTGTGATTGACAGTGTCACTAGCTGGGCAATCAGATGCAATATCAAGGAAAAACCTGGAATTCAAAACCAGTAACAACCGTAAGGGCGCAGAGGAAACCTGCCAAGCGGGCTCAGTGTCAGTGACAGGGCTGCAAAAATACTCTCCGCTGGCTCTTTAGGGGTCACAGACTCTTTGTGCCAGTTCCCCAGGGCTCACCTCCGTGCTGCATCGAAATTGCTCTTTACAAAATCATTGAAAGGCCGCATATGTTCTTCTTTTGTAAACAGGACATGGTTGGCAATACTCTGGAGTATCTAAGTAATAAAAAGATGGTAAAGACACATGAAGGTTTAATGTAGTAACTGTAACCGCAGCCAACGTAACTGCACTGTCAGAAATAGTCATTTTAACTTGTTGTGGAAAAAAAGGCCAACAAGCCAATTAATTCAAAAGTATCTTCTTCCACATACTTTTAAATACAAGAAAACAACTTCCATTATTTATTAATTTTATTTGGGTTTAGACCAGGATTTTTACAGGAAATAATACCAAACACTTCTTTAGTGCTAGTATCAACCACATCTGGCTGCTGTCATTGTCACTGTACTCAAAGCAACCTTGGTTTCTTTGTTTTCGAATAGGGTTAGAAGCTCCAGTGAAGAGCCAGAAGGCATTCTGTTATCTTACACCCCATTCTGGCAAAGTGGTTTTTTCAGTACAGGCTGTTCCCCAGACTCACACTGCTGTGAGCTATAACGTTAACACCATGATGTATGAACACAGCACGGAAACTGCACTTGACATAAACGTCAGGGCTGCTACAAAAACTACAAGTTTATCTACATTTTCTCATACTAGTCAAAGAACAGAACTAAATCAGGTAGAACATACCATACAGCCAAACAAAAATATTTACTGATTCACCTTTGACATCAGTTTCAATCCCCTTTCAATTCTTGGTGGAGGTTTTTTATCTAAGATCCCCGCCTCGTAAGGGGAGACGATGGCAGGATTGATGAACCGAAGGAACATGGCACTTCCAACTGCTCCGATGCTGTTCTGAGGAAATCGCTGGCTAACCACCTACAAAGTTGAGAATTGTAAAGAATATTTTGGCATTAAAAGGAAAGCAAGCTGAGAAAAGCCTTGCACGGTAATCCAACTTTAAGCATTCCTTCCACACCAAGCAAGCTCAACACTTTTGAGTAGGACTCTCTTGCCTTGACAGGTCTTGCATCGTAGGACAATCAGGGAGGAAGGGGCAGGAGTGAGGGGCGAGGGGGCCATCAGACACTACCTAGCTTTGCCTCAGCTCCTGTGCAAACTTTCTTGCTAGGGTGAAATTGCTACGGTAACTGCTGGACAAAGGTAAGAGGGTGTGTTTCAGATTTACTGACCACTTAACTCCAGGACCCTGCCACTGCCAGTCAGGCAGAGAAATGCCAGATGTTTGTACTCAGGTGTGCACAGTCTTCCCAGCAATACAGGTAACTCTCTTTACACGAGTGGGTCTTTTATTGGTGTACTGATAATTTCACTATTGATCACAGGAGCCTCTCCAGCAGTAAGACTTATGCTGTAAAGTTTCAGGATTAATTTTGAATTTGTGGGAAGGAGATATTTGTAGAAATCCTTTTCGGAACCATCGCATCTCAACAGATTTGGCAAAGGAGGAAAGACAGAACGAGCCAGAGCTGGGTGGCCAGGGTACTCCCCTGCCTACACATAGACTGTCCAAAATCACTTTGCAGGAATTTACTAGAACTACAGATTTAAAATATTGTTCTTTGCCATCTAGAAAAAAAAATCTTAAACTCTTGTAAGAAAAAATAAATCTCCTTTCTTTTTTGAAAACAACTATATAGTCTATTGTCCAGATATCTTTCATTTGACTTTGAAAAGTTAAAGATAAAGCTCCCTGAAAAAAATAAAGTTCTTAAATATGCAACATGTGCTATAAAGATATATGTATATTTTCTTATGAATAACAACAGTTAATCAAAACAAGTCAGATTCTACCTTTTCACAGAATAAAATCAGCAAGCTTCATATTTTAAATTATATTATTTAAAATAAATACAAAACAAACCCCATTTTACTAAAATACTTCAAAACATTAATAGTGCAATCTCCAATCATGCTACTTAAAACAGATAAAGCCATTAGTGCATATTTAATATATCAAGAATCACTTTGGTTCAGTACCAACTTCATACAGTTACCTTGTGATGGAATTACTAATAGAATTTTATTGAAAATACTAGTTTGCACAGATTTTGCATTTAAACATGATTACTATTCTGCTCAGTTCCAGCAAAAAATAAGGGAGTATTTAATAAAAGTCTGAATTTCCATTCTGCCTCTGTTTTATTCATTACTTTGTACTTTGAGGTCACTGTCAAAAAAAAGGGTAAGTCTTAACTTTTAATGACACCATTTTACCACAATATACAAATCTAAACTCTTTAACACAGCAAGTTACTTAAAATGGGAAATCTGCTTTTCTCAGTTGATCAATACAAGCGATAAATTTTATTGCGTAGTCACAAGGAAAACAAAATATATCAGAGACAAGTCATACAAGCCTCTTGTCTCTTCAGTAACCCATATATATGAATTATTCTTCTCCCAGGATGCAAGCTGAAGTGAAGTTATCAACCAGAGTGTTAAAACAACTAAACAGACTCAGATTTTTCCCCAAAACCAAAGAAAACATTTTTCTTCCGCATTTTTTTTAAATTTGAAGATGGTGGCAAAGGTAGAAGAATCAGAGTATTAAACACTAAGCAGTAATGTTAAAAATGTCTTCGGTTTACTCAAATAGGCACACAGAGAATATTTTAAATATAACTTAATTCCAGTGTTAATTGAAATGAAAGCTATTTTGTGCCAGAATTAGTAGAATGATTTTACAGTGAGGTCAAATAGACTGAAGTGAAGATGTTTTGAACAAACAGCAAAAGATTTCTGTTGTGCTTTGAAAGAAATGGCTAATAAAAAGGTCTCCAAACTTACTGATTTTTTGTTTTCCTTTTTTTCTTTTACGGTAGCTTTATTCAGTAGAGAGTGGCAAGTTGCCTACAGAACAGAGATGAGCACAAACAAGTCACAGCACCAACTACATACAGCAACAAAAAACCAATGTTGACTTGTACATAAATTACACAGTAAAATGTAACAAACATAACCAACAGAAAATGAAATATATAAACTAAAGACTGATGATGGAGTTTTTATTCCACAATTTTATTGCATCTTATTTACAAAGCACTAAATACAAAACAAGCAAATGTTGCGTTTCAATCATTTCTACTATTTCTGGCTAGATTAAAAGTCAAACCACATTCATGTGCTCATGATACACAATGTTGGGCATTAAATGGTATATTCAGCTTTCAAATGTATTTCACCATCCCCAAATAATTTTAATAGTAAAAATAGTAAAGTGTTATACCTTTGAAATACATATTACTTTTAAAATAAATTTAGAGTTTTAAATCTTCCCAATGTTTCTCTGTGTGTCCTTCAATTTAGTTAGATCTGTGGATCATCGTGGTTATTACTACTTTAATAGCTAAACACTGCCATAAAACACTCTATGGAAACAGGAAGAAAAAGGCCAGTGGGTCTCTATTAATGTATTATAGATTTCCACATCGAGATATCTGACTTGATTGTGCTTATTTCACTGAAATGCAAAGGGACCCACCCAGAAGCATCACATTCTCTCATATGTCCCACCAGGATCTGAGCCAAGCTGTAGTGCACCAGCCCTGTGCACTGCTCCCCTCTACAGAGGTACATTTTGGTCCTGGAGCTCAGTCCTACATCCTTCACCTCAACTGTAAATCAGCATCACTGAGAAGCCCTACAGCAAACAAGACCTGGAGCTGTGGCAATAGGAAGCAGCATTTAGCAGTTTGAGAGCAAACATGCACCAACAGTTCAAATAATCTTTAGAGCATCACACAAACTGGAACTGGAGAAGAATTTCTACAACTTAAGAATGTGACAGAGTAAAAAGAAAAAAAAAATCACCCCCAAACAAAACCCAACAGCCAGTAAAAGCTATTCTGCTAACCAAGCTAAATTTAAATAGTTCAAATTTGTGCAGGACCTATTAATATCTAACCAATGGTGCCTCTGCCAAATTTCTGCCTTTGTGTAATTTTTAGAGCCCGTTTCTGAAGCGGTCAGACACATACTCCATGCACCAGGTCACTGCATTTACAGCAAGTAACATTTCCATCTCTCTCCATTAAGAAAAATCATGGATGTTTGTGCATTGTTTATGAAATCAGCCAGCACAAATTCCTTGTGTGAGTTACTTTGGTAAGGCCTGTTGGTGACCACAGAACACTCCTGAACATACATTACCTGAAAACAAGCACGGGTGGTGAATCTGTCATGGTAACTAGTTACAGGATGTTTCCAGATGCAAACACTTAGCAGGGCTGTGTTCTGGTAACAGAAACACCAACCAGCACAGACCCCAATATCCAACTCAATACACTGTGTCCACAGTGTTGCTACATTGATTAAAATTAGCTACGAATCATTTACAGAACACATCAGATGAGTATTTTTTTGCACACAGATTTACTATAAAACTCAAAGCATAAAAAGACACTGCAAAATTCAGTCTCATTTTCCATCACACTATTCCTTGGGATGAAACCCAGTCACCTTATAAAAAACAAAGTTACCTTATCAAAATCACCTATTTGGTTCTTATGATAAAAATGGATTAATACCCCCCAAAATTAAGTTTTTAATTGTACTTTCTCTCAGATAAAGGCCAGACTCTTCGAAACTCTCTGGAATTTGAAAGTAGAGAATGAATTATTACACTATTTGTGAGGAATAAGCATTTGTATGTAAATATATGTGTTAATAGAAACAGCTTAAATAGTAAACTTTGAAACCGAGTATCAGTCGATACCACTAGTGTATTTGCCAGTAAATCAGCTCTTTCAGGAACAAATTACCCTTGTTACCAAAAAAAAAGTAAAGGTAAGGATAAAGCAAATAGACTTGATATGCTGCCATAGAAGAATCTCTGGCACTGCCCACTGGTGATTACGTTTTAGTAATTCCATTTCATGTAGAAATTAAAAATGGTTTGCATAGAAATAACTTCTAGTAACGTATCACTGACATGGAAATAAACCTGACACACCCAGTAACAGCACAGAAATGCAGTTCTAGGAAAGATGGGGGACAACGTAACGGCAAATAAAAGAAGCAACAATCAAGGTTGGGTGTGACATTTTCAAATGCATTCCCAGTCAGTGTCAGTGGGACTGTGGCCATTTGAAACCACCCTGCTCCCTCATTTCCCAGTTTAAAAAAAACAAACAAAAAAACCTCTCCAAGACCATCCCCAGCCAACCCAAACACAACCACTGTCACAGAGAGAAACCGCTGGCTTTGGAAGCCATTTATACAAGTTGTTACAGCAGAAACAAAGGCACATCATTTGCATGGCTAATCTGTTCCAACAGGAATAACCCAAGATCCACAACAGCCACCACGCACAATTCACTGTTTCTCACTCCCAAGTTCTGAGAATCGCAGCAGTTGCATTTATTAATACAGTATTCACTGTAAAAACATGACTAGACTTCACCTCGTTGAATTTTTTATTACTCATAATTAGTTTGCACAGCTCAGGAAATCTATTTTCCTTGCTTTACTTTAGACCTGAGATACAGCATCCATGGTTGAGAGGCCAAAAATAGCTCATCCAGACCACTCAGCTGAGACCACAGCTCAAATACTCAGCCATGCACAGCTCTTCTGTCACACTCCTCCAACAGGACTGGAAACTGTATTTCCTATGAGTTCCGAGGGCAGCAGGAGTATCTCCCACTGGAATTTTTAGCAGCAGCTAAATCCACCCAAAATACACAGGGAGCAAGAGAGAGACCTGTGGGCACACCAGGCTTGGGGATGGTGGGCAGGGAATGCAGGTACTTGAACAGGAGGCGGCCAGGAGGGCACTGCTAGAGAAGGACTTACTCTACAGAGGACAGTGCACCACCCGGGAAGGTTTCTTCTCTTTAAGCATCACTTATAAATGATACCAGAGACAAGGAAAAGACCACCCTCTTAGTGGTCTCAGCTTGGTAACCTTCCAAGGTTTGTGTGACAGCACTGAAGTTCTACTCACAAATTGAAGGCAGCCTCTGTAATCTGCCTCTTTAAAAGAACTCTATAAATATATTTATCTGTCTCTTCCAGGTTCTCTTCCTCTTATTTACCTGATGAATTCCTCAGTGCCCTGTGTTTGCAAAACGTCTGGTTGGCCACTTAATCAAAGTACAGCAATAACGTACTCCAGGCCTCTGACAGGTAAGAGTGCCTCCATCAGAACCTGCTGCCCAGAGCAGGTGGCAGATATTTTACTTTGTAGACCAGAATGGATTCCTGTTGTCCTTCTACCTCTCAAATACAAGAACCTATCACACAGAGCATCTGCAGCATCCCAGTTACAAGGCTAATGTTATTTACCAAATTAGAAGCCAGTGGAGCTCCCTCCCAGCACAAGTTAATGGCTTTCCCGACAGCTGTCCGCAGCAACCTAGAGACTCCTGCTTTCAGAAGGTGACTACGAGACATGACACTGAGTGTGACCAGAATGAAGCCTGAACGATGCACTCTCTTGAGCTCACCCACAAATAATTTTCTTTGGGGAAGCACATAAAACCACAGACAATTCTCTACTACATACAGTGAATAGCATTTTATAAGTCTACTTCCTTTCATTATAGTCATCTTCAATCCACAGTTTCTAAAATTTAGGACCTGTAACTACCTTGGTCCTTCTGAAGACTGTACAGGTTTACTCTTATGGGCATCTTACACCCTTTTGAACCTGCTTTTCTATCAAAGACAAAGTGTAAGATTGTGCCCCCCTGTAATACACAACTAAATAATATTCCTGGAGCAACAACCCAAAAAAATACATTTCATAGACAATTCTTGGAAAAATTGACTTCAGAGAAAAACACTCTTGAAGAAGTTGCCTCTATTTTTATGCAGTGAACTATCTAGAGTCAGTAAGTGGACAATTTTATTCACAAAGTTAAGGTCTATCAAAGGTGTGATCCGTAAGACTTCTAGATAATTAAGTAACTTGATTTCTGATTTAATTAAAGCTGTATAAAAAGAAAACAAGCACACTGTTTCTATATTCAAAACACAGTTTTGCATTCTCTCAACCCAGCAGTGATTTTTTATTTTCCCTTTTTGCTGCCTTCCCTATAGATGGCCCATATAATAAACTGATAGAAGTGAGTATAACCACTGCCTCCCCAGTTCATCTTTAGCCTCCTACGAAGATGCTAAAGTGGAGATTATTGCTGCCTTATGAGGTCTGAGTTCTTGGCTGTGATTCAACTCCTTAAAAAAATGTTTAGTCACCTCCTTATTACCAACCCAGGTCTTAAACCACCATTCATTCCCTACATTTAGATTCCTGCTACTTAATAAACATCTGACAAGAGTCTTTAAGAAACACCCACTGTGCACCCACTACTGGATCAAGCTCCAAACTGCTAGAATTATAAACACAAACCCCAAAGGTTAGGGGCAGGCAACCACTGCAGGCATACCTGGTATAAACAATGGCACACACTGCGAAGTTGTGGTGGGAACTCCGAAGAAGAATTAATGATTGCATGAAAAAATTTTTCTGTCATTTGCAAGAGACTCCGCTGGTTCTCTTCAAGGCTTTCTGTAGGCTCCAGCCTGAAACAGACCCATAAACGGATGGCCAGCAATCAAATAAGTGATACCAGCTGTACTTATATGTTTGGCAGTAACCCCATTTTCCAGGGTAAACAGAAATCTTACAGAAATATTTATGATCTTTTACACAAAAGTTTCCATCAATGTTTTAAACCACGTGAATTACAAACATGAGGGGATTTATTAAATAATAAACATGCAGCTGTAAGTGGGATTCTCTCACACCATTCCATGCAAAGACATGCATACATAATTCCAACAGATAACTGTGTTATCAGTTTGATGGTTTCTCCAAAAGGAATTTTTGAGGTAGACACAGACATTTGAGAGTTAAACTATTAAAAAGAAGGCCTGTCTTCTGGTAAGCTACTTAAAAGACAAATACTTGAAGTTTTTCTAAGAGTCAGAGATAATTCAAAGCAACAGAACAAGCTGTCTAATCCAAGTCTTGATGTGATGTAAGAGAAATTAAAGTAAACATGTTACACACAACATGCATGCATCCCAGCTTGCTTTTGCAATTAATTCAGTGACCTAAAGCAGATGCTTTCTGGTACTAATGGAAATCCCCACATTAGTGGCCTACATAAAAGTATGAAGTACCAAGAAGTCCTGCAAGAGCTCTCTATCTTCCTTACTCTCTCAGGGCTTAGAGGACATATGCAGCAAAACTCATTTCACTGTGTAGGACAGATCTGGACAACTCTCCCTGGGTATAAGGACAATTAACATGTCTAGTAAAGTGAGGAGTGGAAAAGTATGAAAAACTAATTTACAACAAGGAAAAAGGAATGCTATTATATTCACAGTGACTGGGAATCACATTTAGAAAGAAAAACATTTGCCCCCCCGCCTTGAATCTCAAACCTTGTTGGATCCACCTCAAAGCTAACGTGCTGCCATTCAGAAGATGTGATCACAGTCCTTAATAAAGGCTCCAAAAGCTTCTGTAAATAGGTAGCACCATATACCTGTGTAGAAAGAAAATCAGAATAGGTGGCCAAATTAACATAGCAATTCACAGGAACACTTCCAAGTTCTCCAAGTGTTAAAAGAGCCTGAAAACATTTGATTTGTTTTGACGTAAGCCAGATTTACTGTATAACTGGTGTTTCCGTATTATAGTCTCACTTTTGAAACATATCTGTCATCAGTTTCTACAAGTATTTTAATTGATTTCCAATTTAGAGAAAATGACAGGTTACTTTAATAACAACCACATTACTTCTTAGAGCACAGTGACTTAACATCCCACCTCTGTATAGCATGACACAACTTTTTAAACTGAAAGGGAAGCGTTAACAAGACCCCAGAGTTTGTCTCCCCACCTTCAAATTGCCCATTACAAAAAGACCATCAGGAACAGTCTTCAAGCTGGTACTAACCCCAGAATCACTCATAGAACCAAACTAGTCAGAAGTTTAAAGAGCCCTACTATGAATGGAAATTATTTAGGAAAGGACTTTAAGATAACGGAAACTTTTGCAAATATTTAGCTGTTTGTATCAAATAGGTATGTTTCCTAAATAACCAGTAATCTCTGTTGAAATCTACAAATCTTGCAAACATTTTTTGTTACTGCAACCAGTCCTCTTACAGTGCAGAATATACAAACTAGGCAAGATGAGACACTCATTGCCATGGAAACCTTCACGAGGACTAACTGTATGCTTAAGCCTAACTGGTTGAGTCACGAAGTCTTGGCAAAAGGCTAGTTCCAGGAGGATTTTTATTTTTCAGTTGGGCCTGAGCATGAGAAATCTACAAGAACTAGTTTATCAAACATTAAAATATTAAAAGCAAAACTCCCTAAACTTAACAGATGTGAGAACTGAGATTAACTTAAACTGAGACCCAAAGGCAACTCCATACTATTTTCATCTAATCCAGTTACTCAAGTGCTTAACATCAAAGACTGTTAGTTTTGTAGTTTTGTATTACTAAACTTTTCCTGTTATGGAAGTGAGCTGTAGCAGAGAGAAAGGTTAGATAATTTACCTTAAAACAGAAAGTCATTATTTTACTGGCTAAGCTGTTTCCTCGGAAGAGTGTCTGCATGGAATCTGCCAGTTCAACTTCCTTTGAAAACATATTCCAGAGTAGCTGGTAGAGCAAGTGCCGGGAATCAAAGAGTGTGACCAGGACACGAGCTAGCTCATCCTTAAAAGAAGCAATAAAATGTTAATCTGGGTAGCAATGAGGCAAAGCAAATATATAAAAAAAGAATTATTAATAAAACACCAAGCAGTTTGTATCAATGCTTTAAATTTGCTATGGAGTCTTGCATGTAAATCTCAAATTAAGCACACACAATCTCTCTTTACATCTTTCCTTCCTTGTCTAAAAATCTGCCTCACGACATCCAGTCATACCAGTTCACCGTGGTTAGTCCAGACAGATAAGCAGTTACTGTGCTGTATAACAAATCCCAATTCATCTTGCTAAAATCTAGAGGAGCAAATACAGTTGTTTGCCTGCATCACAGCACAATCTGTAATAAATAACCGGCCCAAACAGATGCATTTATTACAATAACTGTATATAAAATTATTCCTAGTCATTAACTAAAAATTTACTACAAAAATGCAGTTTATAATCAAGATCTCTGACAATTAGATTCAGAACATTTTTCCAGGATATCCTAGGAAAGGCTAGTGGTCATTAACGGTAGGTCTAATTTCTCTTTAGCAGACTGTAGTTACACCTTTAATCTTTGCACTAATTTTAATTTCAAGTCTTTAACATTTTTAAAAATGTAGGAAATAAAATGCATGAATCAACTTACCCACTGAGAACAAGGCACCACATTGGCTAAAGCCATAGCAATAGGAAGCTCCCCCTGATCACCCATCATTGTAACCAACTCCACCAATCTCTCAAACCGATCTGCTAGCACTGTTTCTGCTAACGTATCAAATTCTGTTCCCTGCTGCAGAATTTTGGTGAGGACTTCCATAAACGTAGCTCTTGTTTGGAGGTCTTTATGATAGCCCAAGCCTGATTAAAAAAACCCAGAACTACTAAGGAAGATGTAAAAATAAATTAAATACCAATGTCTTCATTATGTATTCATTTATGTGCAGTTATCTCTAACTACTTTACCTATTGAGTGCATAAGACCGCTGTCCACATTTGCATTGAGTAAATTGGACATAGCAAGAACAGTGCAGTGCCGTAGCGAAGCCAGCCTTCGAGACATCCCACGCTTCCTGCCACCTGTTTGTGCACTTTCATCTTCAACTTCACTACAGTCATTGAGAAGGTTCATAAACAGTGTGAAATATCTAAAGAAAAAAAGAAAGACCTGGATAAGTAAAACAGAGTCTGCAAAGATCTGAACCATCTGAAAAGATCTGAAAAGATCTGCATACGCTAGCAAATAGATCTGAACCATCTGAAAAGATCTGAAAAGATCTGCATACGCTAGCAAATAGACAACAAGCCTCCCAAAAAAATCTGGTAACTGCCCCAAGTAATCTTTCTTGTAGCAAAGTTGAAGCTTTCAAATGTGTTGTAACATTCCAAAGGCACTGCCCTAAAATTTGTATGGAACGTTTCTCAAACCAAGAAAGTGAATTTCACAGGTGTGCCTTTGCAAACATGTCTTGAAAGAGATTTTAAGTTTCATGGATAAAAATATAATATAAAAGCAAGCTAATCCCTGTCATGAATTAAGCATACATGTGCATTAAACTGAAACAAAGACAAATTTTGTAATTATTTCTAAATGAAAATGTTTCCATAAACCTAGGAGGCAGAGATTTATGAAATAGGATGTAGAAGAGGTAATTCCTGTTTGGATAATAAAATTATTTCTGCTAGAAGAAAAAACATAGTTTGTAATAAAAGTCATATGGTGCATCTACTCAGAGTAATTGTATAGAAAAATAGTTAAAAGTCACTATTTACTTAAGAAATAACTGAGATTTCGCTTCCATCAACTCAACACCATCTCCCTCTTCAGGCTGTAGTGGAAGCCCAGCAAGGAGAGAGACCACTGCTTCCATGCTGGCTTGGTCCAAATCTCTGAAAAACAAAATTTTAAGCAGCTGTGAATCAGTTCAGCAGAATTAGTCTCTCCTTCCTCTTGATAATTTTCCCATCCAGTACCAAGTCTCTTTTCCTTATATATCCAGCTGCAGTGAAAAGAATCTCTAAAATCAAACAGTTATTC